TATCTCTGTTTGACCTTGAAAATATACCTAACATGACTACAAATTCGATTGTAATAGGTGACTACTAACCTGTATTTCTTTGTTATCCTAAATAGTTTGTAATAATAACTTCCAAGTACTAGAAATTTGCATTACATTGTTAAGTGAGTTATATAGGTACAATATCTTGAACAAGAGTAGAAATATATATACAGTATATTCTAACATAAATGATCTCAAATTTGTATCAATATACAAAAATCAAAGCCAATGTAAAATATTTAAAACTAGTAGTTGCTTTTTAAAAGTAGATTCAATAATATACCCCTTTATTCTATCATATCATATCTATATCCCCCTTTTTACTTTTCAGAGTAGATCCAATAATCTACCCTTTTGTCCTATCATTTTTATATTCCCCCCTTTTTTCTTTTCAAAAAAGAACATTAATCTAATCTCCTATGTTCAGGTTTTTTCCTGACTGTTACCAATAACAACTTGTAACCAACCACCCTAAACAATGACAAATATCCATAACCCATTAAAAGACAAAAACCACCCACTCCACCTCTTGAGAATGTGGGTGTCGTGTTCTTAAATTTACTTCCTGCTGTTTGGGGGTGATAGTATCTTTAAGGGATCCTGAAAAGAAAAATTTGAGTTAATTGTTAAGTCCTGGGAGAGGTAGCTGTATCATTTGTTGTCCAGTCTCTTCATAATGGGAAAGTGCAGGGCTTGTCTCAAGTCTGTGAGTAGTCTGTGAGGCTGGATCATCTCAGCTAGCCACCTCAAAATTGTTCTGAGCAGTTGGTAGTCCAAATCTGATCTTTAGATGGTTTTTCAGCTTAGTACTCTCATAGTCCTGGTGGAATCATCATTGTGGGTCCCCATTATCCTTTTGGAGAATTCAAAGATCACTGTTAGGCATGGTCATGGTTCATTACAGAATACTTAAACATTTTAAATGTCATATGCAGATGATCTCAAAGAAATTAAAGGATTAAAATTTTTATGTACCTCCAGAGTACAAAAACTTTATTTCTAGTTACCTGACTCAAACCTGAAATCATGTACAGGAAGCTAGATGAAACCTTTTTCTAAAATTAGTTAGTACTCTATATGACCATTAATATTATGACAAAAAGTTTAATATATATATATATATATATATATATATATTAATCCTATAAACTTTTAGATAAAATTTATACCTTAATAAAAGTTTTAAAAGAGTCAAAATAAAACCAAAGGATCATGAGATTAGTGGAAACAAAATAGTCCCTAATTTTGTTTTTTCTTCTGTCCCATATCAGGTGACTCTTCTGACATGAGAAAAAGATTTTGGATTTTACTTTAACAATATACTTGGGTTTAGAGGAGAAAGCCACATCCAACTTCAAAGCCAGCTTTAAGTGTTAATTGAATTGGGACTACAAAAATATCATTTGTATTATGTGTCTGTAGAGAACATCAGAAACAAACATTTGGGAAGATTTATGAAATTTTATGCTGTTGAAAACATGATATATCAATAGGCAAAATTATTCTTTTTCTTGGGACATTTTTTAAAATAATTTGTCCGTTTTCTTCACGTTTCTTTTGTCCAGTGGTCTTCAGATTCCTTAGCTGGATTCCTTCGTTCTCCTGAAAAGACAAAAATAAAACTGTTCCCCAACCCTAATTTTGGGGAGGCTCCCTTATAGCAAATTATATTTGATCAAATGAAAAGCATTTGTTAGTTTTATAGGTTAGTTTAATTTGAATGGTCATGCTGTTTGATGAGCTATCACCTCTTCTAATCAAGAGTTCTCTATTGTTAAAATCTAATCATTATCAATTTTGATTTATAGTTTCTCTTGAAAATGTTGTTCTTTCTTCTATAGCTGTTCTATCATCCAGAGCAGTATGGTTTTTACAATAGGCATTAGGTTCTTTCCTCCATGATGACAGGAAACAACTGAATCGAATTTGATATAGGGGCCTGCAAGAGGACCCCCAAGGCATTTGCTGATGGCAAAGGATTACCTTGACTGTCCTTGTTGATCTATATTTATTAGTCCAATATCCACCTTTGCCTCACCTTCTGCATACTCCAGAAGGGAAGGATGTTCTGTTGGCATTATTCTTAGAAAAAGCATTGTTTCTAGAAATGACTTGTTTACAATTCCTTTTTATGTGACCTTGTTTATCACTATTGAAACACCTGACATTTCAATTTTTCTTCAAACCTCTGGAAATCACCTCTCCTATCCAAGCATCATCATGGTCATGAGATTGAATATTAATTTTATATCAGATCCATTCCTCTAAAGTTGCTGATCTTGCCTTTAATGGCCTAATTACCCTTTTGCATTGTGCATTCACATTTTCAAAAGCCAAAGATTCAATTATTATTTGTCTAGTTTCTGAATTTGGTATCATTCTATTTAATGCTTAAGTCAATTTTTGTAAGAAATCAGTGAAGGTTTCTTTTGGGCCCTCTATAACTTTAGTAAATGACTCAGTTTTCTTTCCTACTTCTTGAGTTTTGTCCCAAGCATTCAAGGCTGCCATTCGGCATAAAACCAGGGTGCACTCATCATATAAAGATTGACTTTCTACATTAGCATAATCTCCCTCTCCAAGAAGTTGGTCTTGGGAGATTTATGGGCTATTTACCTCTAGCCCTACTTCATTATTCAATGGTCTTAGTCTCATCTTTCCACCAGGTCCTTCACTGTAATTGAGGACCAGGCTCTAAGACTGTTGTAAAAAGTCTCTCCAGTCTTGAGGGATAATTCTATTACAAGTTGACCACAAGTTTAACATCTGTTTCACAAAAGTGAATGCATGCCATATGACACTATAGCGTCCTTGAATCTCCTTAAATCTGACATTTCCACAGGAGTCCAGTCAGCTCTTACACAGCCTTGGGGATATCTATCATTTGGCAATTCCTGTAAGGTTCCTGTTCCTCTCTAACCTTATAATGCAATGCTGAGATTGGTTCTCCTTTGAATTCCTCTGTCTGGGTCTGAGTATCTCTATGATCTGTTTTAACAAGTTTTTCTAAAATTTTTATCTTGGCACTCATATTAACCAACTTTTTAAATGATAAAACAAAAATCATCAAACAGATATTTATAATTGACATTACATAAATCCCATCTATATTAATTAGTCTCTCATTTAATTTTCCATTTCAAACCAACCAGTATATTATCATACAGAAACCTAACTCCCTCCATTGTAATAGTGTTTCCCTCTTTTAATTTTTTTTATTAAGAGAATTTTTTCATTCATTTTACACACCAATCAAAGATCCCCCTCTTCCCTCCTCCTGCCCCTCCAGCCTCCTCCCTAACCCACCCTTCACTCCCTCCCACAAAAAGGCAAGACTTCCCATGGGGAGGCACATCCAGTAGAGGCAAGTCCAAGCCCTTCCCCCTGCCCCAAGGCTTCACGGAGGTGTCCCACCATAGGTACTAGGCTCCCAAAAGCCCCTCCCCCATGCACCAGGGATTGGATTCTGATACTTCCCCGGGGCCAGCCCCTGCCCCAAGCAATCAAGCTACGCAATTGTATCTCCATGCAGAGGGCCTAGTCCAGTCCCATGTAGGGTCCACACCCATTTTTTAATGTGGGAAAAACTCTCTTTTAATTCCTCCCTTTAAGAATTCCCAATTGTCTCACCAAATCTGCCAACAATGGTGATTCAGATGACAGTGAAGTATGGAGCTCACTGCTCCACACAGAACAGTAGAAGCCCAAGCAGTTTTCAAGGCAGCTACCTAGTGTGGCAGCAGCCCAAGGAAGGGGGCCAGGGAGAGCCCACATCCCACTGGGGAATGTGCAAAAGTGGCTACCTCCTGCAGTTTTAGGAGCCCAAAACCTATGGAGTTTGCTACAGATAGGCTGTAACGGAAAATCCCCAACTTGCTCAGATGCTTGAGGAAAAGAAAGAAAAGCCTTAGCCGATGGAGTAGTGACTCCAGTCTGTGCCAGTGGCTGCAAAGCCACAGGCAAGCAGCTTTTTCATGAAATTGTGTCCCAAAAGTTGAATGCCAGATGTGGCCTGCATCTTAATTGGTCTTAATAATAAAAGCCTGGATGCTGATATCAGGATAAATGCTGAAAAATCAGAGAGACAAAGAAGCAAGTCACAGTCATCTCCTACCTAGCCAACTCCTCAACCTGAAAAGGTGTCTGGGGCGGGGGGATTATGAGCTCATGTCTCCACTCTGCCTTATCACTTCCTCTCTCTGCCCAGTCATATCTTTTCCTGTTTCCTCCTCCCAAGTGCTGGGATTAAAGGTGTGTGTCACCACTGCCTGGCCTCTATGGTTAACTAGTGGCTGGTCCTGCCCTCTGCTCTCCAAGCAAGCTTTATTTGTTAGAGCACAAACAAAATATCACCACAGGGAACACCAACTAGTTGTCCAATAACAAATCATTAGGTCTGAAAATATACATGTAAGTAGCATTACACAGACAAATCAGGAGATGTGTGTGTGTTATACATATATATATATATATATATATATATATATATATATATATATATATATATATATATGGGTTTGTCAACAATGAAAAAGAGGCTATGAAAATGAAAAAGCAAAGAGGTATATAGTAGGTTTGGAGGGAGGAAAGGAAAGAGAGAAATTATATAATTATATTATAATTTCAGAAAATAAAAGAAATGCTAGCTACTCACAACAAGGAATACAAAATAAATAACCCAAGAATTCACTAAATGACACCAACAGCAACAATTGACTGTTTAGGAGAAAGGACCGTATTTCCAGAGCACAGAAAATATTATTAATTAAAATGCTCAAATATGGGCATCTGGTCTAGGTCAGTGGAAAGGAACTTGCTTACCATGTGCCAGGCACTAGATTCAATCACCATTATTCCCAGGATAAAATAAGATAAAATAGTGAAATCTAACACAGGTTTAAAAGTAGTTAGTAGAGATTGCACCTAAGTAAAGCCAATTCTTGAACTGAGCAAAGATTAACCAAGAAGTAGAAAAAATGTCTTTGTGCAGATTCTATATATTTAAAATGTGAGTGCTAAAGAAAATTTTGCTTTCTCCACAGCCTTTTGTAATGCACTCTTGACCTCTTTGTTCCTCAGGCTGTAGACCAGAGGGTTCAGCATAGGGATGACCATGGTGTAGAACACAGATGCCACCTTGTCAGTGCTCATAGTGTGACTGGAGCTGGGCTGTAAGTACATGAAGATACCTGACCCATAGAAGATGGAGACTGCAGTGAGGTGGGAAGCACAAGTGGAAAAAGCCTTCTGGCGTCCTTCAGATGAGTGCATCCTCAGAATGGTGATGAATATAAACAGGTAGGAAATCAAGATAACTACAATAGAGGAGAGATCATTGAAGCCCACCACAAAGAAAATTACCATCTCACTGACAGAGGTGTCTGAGCATGAGAGGGCCAGGAGAGGAGGGGCATCACAGAAGAAGTGGTCTATCACATTGGACTTGCAGAAGGAGAGCCTGAAAATGTTCCCAGTGTGGATGGAGGAATTCAGGAAGCCACAGACATAGGAGCTTATGGTCAGACAAGCACATGTGTTTGTAGTCATGGTGGTGGTGTAATGCAGGGGCTTGCACACTGCTGCATAGCGGTCATAGGCCATGGCAGCCAGGAGGAAACTTTCTGTAGTTATAAAGCCCACAAAGAAGAAGAATTGGGTGCCACAAGCATTGTGGGATATGAGTTTATCTGTTGAAAGGAGACCTGCCATTACTTTGGGTGTGACAGCTGAAGAATAACCAAAGTCCACCAGAGATAGGTGACTGAGGAAAAGGTACATGGGAGTGTGGAGGCGTGTGTCCAGCAGAATCAACCCTATCATTCCCAGGTTCCCAAGCACAGTGCTGAGATAGATGAGAAGGAAGACCGTGAAGAGTGGGATCTGGAGCTTTGGGTCATCTGTTAACCCTGCAAGAACGAACTCAGTCACCTCTGTACTGTTCTCCATTGGGGATTATGTGGCTTCCCTGCAGCAAAGAGAAAGGAGATCAGAATGAGAGATGGAGGGGAGACTGGTGATGCACTCTGCTTGCCTCTACATGCCTTCTTTCACTGTGCAAATAAATGTTCCTTTCCAGCATTTTGATATAAGCAAGTCATGGCAGCAACATTCAAGTTTAAATTAATGGTAGATCATAATGCTTCCCAGAAAAGATGATGTATTTCAATCTAGTTATTCTACAGATGACTGAATTGAGGCCAGAAAAAAGTCTGCCATGAAATTATCAAATATTACTCACTGGAAAATATCAAAATCCTTCTATCTTTGTAAAACAAAGTCATCCCTTATTCTACACCAGAATAGCCTAAAGTCATGATGCTGTCTGTATGCTGTAACAAAATTCAATAAATTTGACATAGTATAAGTAAAAGAAATTCATCATGTACTCTTCTGACAGCTAGAAAGTCCAAGAACAAAGGCATTGGCAATCTATTGTCTGCTGATGGCATTTCCCAGTTCACAGATTACATCGTTTGACCATTTGTTCAAGATAAAAGAGGCTACCATCTCTCCAGCATTTTTTTCGTTAGACATTAGTCCCATTCATAGGATTTCTTTCCTCATTAATAACTGCCTCTCTAAGACTCCACATCCTGAATCTCAGTTTGGAAGTAACAATTCCAACAAATGAGTTTGGTGATGGAAACAATCAGGCCATAACACTATATAAAAATGAGGTAAAATGAATTAATTTTACTTCCAGCTTTTTCATTATTTCCATTGTGTCAAGAACTGTCATATGATAAGTAAAGATGCTTAACTATAGCATAATTTGCCTAAAATGATATTGGTTTTATTTAGTCCACATGATATGCAGTTTATCACAATAAGAAAACATGGGAGAAAAATCACATATAAGGAGTAAAGGCATCTAGAAAATAATGGTATTTAACTTTTGCTACATTGACAGAGGTTTTAGCTTTTACATACAGATGTCTTTAATCTTGAGGAAATGTATCCAGAGCAGGTGATTAAGATACACTTTGTTCCTTAAATATTACCCACTTGAATGAATACTGAAGATGGATATTTTTCAATTTTTGAACAAAATATTGGAAATTATCTCAAAATATTTTACCAACTTTGTTTACTACATGTGAAATCAAGTTTAAACAAATATCTCAATAAAAATAAGGTATTTTAGTCTTTTGTAAAAAATGGGGGGTAGTGGATGAGATCTACACGAACAACCTGGATGTGAGTGGGCGTAATGAAGGGCAAGTTTCAAGGGAAAGAGAGCTTAGGGGAACAGTAGATCCCAGCTGGATCAAGAACAGAGAGGGAGAACAAGAAATAAGAGACCATGATAAATGAAGACCTCATGAGAATAGGAAGAAGCAAAGTGCTAGAGAGGTCCACAGAAATCCACAAAGATACCTCCACAATAGACTACTGGCAATGGTTGGGAGAAAGCCCGAACTGACCTACTCTGGTGATAGGATGGCCAAACACCCTAATTGTTGTACTAGAAATCTCATTCAATGACTGATGGAAGCAGATGAAGAGATCTATGGCCAGGCCCCAGGTAGAGCTCCGGGAGTCCAATTGGCAAGAAAGAGGAGGGTTTGTATGAGCGAGAATTGTTGAGACCAAGATTGGAAAGAGCACAGGGACAAATAGCCAAACGAATGGAAACACATGAACTCTGAACCAATAGCTGAGGAGCCCCCAATTGGATCAGGCCCTCTGGATAAGTGAGACAGTTGATTAGCTTGAACTGTTTGGGAGGCATCCAGGCAGTGGGACTGGGACCTGTCCTCAGCGCATGAGCTGCCTGTTTGGAACCTGGGGCTTATACAGGGACACTTTGCTCAGCCTGGGAGGAGAGGACTGGACCTGCCTGGACTGAATCTACCAGGCTGAACTCAATCCCCAGGGGAGTCTTTGCCCTGGAGGAGATGAGAATGGGGGTGGGCTGGGTGGAAGGCGGAGGGGGGTGGAGGACAAGGGAATCCATGGCTGATATGTAAAATTAAATTAAATTATAAAATAAAAAATACAACATAAAAGATGGGGGGTAGAAGAATGCACATGATTTGAATGGAGAAATGCGTAAAATAAGAAGGGACTTCAACTTGGACAGGGGGAAAGTAGGATGGCAAAATAACACTAAGGATGTCTGTAAAAGCTATAAGGAATTATATTATTATTATTTATTTACCTAAATTACATAAAACACATAAACTATATATCTACATATACATGTAAAGTTTAAATGAAATTACTCTACTTGAGCTGACAATGCCTCTCCCAAGAACCATAGACTATGTAACAACAACAACAACAAAATACCAGCCATGTAGCAAACAGCTCTCTAATTGGACGTTAGGCCTGCTCAACAGTAGGGAAATCATGCTTGGTGCTGAAAACCTAGCCCACTACCTGGAGCTTGTAAGATCATGAATCTTGGGGGAGCATCTCCTATTGTCACTTTACTAAAGCAGCTAATAAGTCCTAACTGCATTCTAAATATTTATACTTATACCCAGAGATAAATGTAGTCTTACCCCTCATCAAAGAAATGTCTCTTTGCAACAGAAAAACACCATTATAGAACACCACTACTGGTTAAAATGTGGAAAAGAGCTGATCATGAAGTTCCAAGCCCCTATGGTTACATCTACAATGCAACTCCTTCAACCAATGGCCCAGGCAACAATATTGAAGTGGGAGGTAGAAAGATTATAAAATCCAGAGCACCAAGAAATCTGATGTGAGATTGTTTCTCCAAAAAAAATGACAGAACTTTATCTATGATACCTCAACAATATGCTAAACAAGACCTGAAGACAAATAGACACGCTGACATGGAAGGGAGAAATCTCACAGGTCTCTACCCCTAGACAAAGAACTACAGGCTACTAAGGAATGCCGATAGCAGGAGAAATAGCTTCCTCAGAGATAAGCTTCCTAAAACTGGTAATTCAATACTAAGTGTCATCCCTGAAATCACACACATACAAGTAATACTAAATGAACCTAGCAGGTTATGTTTAATATTTAAGTAGGGGTGTAAGAATGTGTGTGTGTGTGTGAGAGAGAGAGACAGAGAGAGACAGAGAGAGAGAGAGAGAGACAGAGAGAGAGAGACAGAGAGAGACAGAGAGAGAAACAATAACAAGGAAAAATATTTAGAGAGGGAATAAGGTCATTTAACATGGAAGGACTGAAAAGGGAAGGGGGAAATTATGAATTATACTCATTTTTTAATTAAGAATATAAATAGAAAAGAACAAAATAAGAGTTACAAAGTTTCGCCGGGCGGTGGTGGCGCACGCCTTTAATCCCAGCACTTGGGAGGCAGAGCCAGGTGGATCTCTGTGAGTTCGAGGCCAGCCTGGGCTACCAAGTTAGCTCC